TAGGTGCGACTGCGGCAACTAGCCTTCCGTAGACATAATACAGAAAGAAGAGATGGTACTCAGCAGAGAACATGAGCACAGAGTTGTAGCGGAGATAATTTGGCAGGCGAGACTGTAGTCGTTTTATTATTCCGAACCCCGAAATTCCGGTACTCGGGCCATTCTTCCTGACACCCTCGGAACCTGCTGTGTTTGCTGCTTGTTTATTGTTTTGTTGTTGAGCTGAGACACAAGCACGCCTTCGCCCCTTGTGCTCACTCTCATCTAGCACCCATCAAAGCCTGACCAGGGAGTCAGTTGACAAGAAAATCCATCTACGTTTCTCTTTCCGAAGCTTGCTCGGGCCTACCGATCTCACAGCAGTGTAACCTCTGTGATAGACTACAAAGTGTTCGAGCTACAGCAGCACCGCGGTGACAGCAGTGTAACCTCTGTGGTACACTACAAAGTCTACGAGCTACAGCAGCACCGCCACCTCCGCTGCTGCAGAACGCCACATATTGTGAAGTTTGAGAATTTGGTAGAGCTCTTTCTCGTGAGAGTGATTAGTTATTTGACAGATCTTTTAGTGTATAGCAACTTGACATCGTGAGAAGATTTGAAAGATTTCGTAGAACGTATTAGACTATATTGGGAGATGGTTTGGATTGGAATGAATGGTGAATGCTTTCCGTTGGATGCGCAGTTTGATTTATTGCCGTTCTACGTGGCAATGATTAATCATTATGGGGATGTCGTATTTCGCACCGAGAAGGGGCTGTTCAGGATACTCGGCAGAGTATACCGTCTACGGGGCCTCCGGGAAAACGCGGATGGTATTGTGTATGTTGATGGACATGCTGCATGGCGATGATGTTAGGGATATTTGCTACGTGTCTATGTACTTAGTAGACAATAGCCGGGTTATATCCCTTTTGTTTTCGTTACAGGGGACATTGACGAAAGTAGTCGTAAGATTGTGTGTGCACGCACGGTAGGTAGGTATGATCCAGAACATGGTACCCGTATCAGCAGCTAGCAGCAGCTAGCACACGTGCAGTTATAGTATAGCAGAGACCACATGCTGTTTTACCGTTCCCGTACGGGACTGTCAGCAAACGGTCAGAATAGTTTTCGGGGAAACCCCAAGGTACCATAGCCGGTTGACTATTCGGAGTCCACAACAGCAGATATTGTTTTCAGTGTTTCTAGTGATCGAGAGCTGGCCCGCGCGCCTCTCTCACTCTTATCGTCTACCATCAAAACCAGCCCCTGGGCTCAGCCTGAAATAACGACATAATCAACTACATCTTGTATCTCATCGTTCCACCTCTCACATACAGCTGGCTGCCTTGCTTCTCAGGGAGCACCTGCGGTGAGCTTTCCAAAGCAGTCCAGCCCGACGCGCTACCGCTACAAGCTCATCACCAAGACCGTATGTCTGTCACTCTCTAACCAACCAAGGTATCGAGTCAAACTTCTTTCGCTTTCGACCTCTGAGGAGCTAAACATTTACATCGATCCCTCTAAACAGTATATTTTTGCAGCACTGCAATATAATGTTAGAAGCACTGCGAAGAGGAAGTCAGCCGAAACGCCGGGAAAGTGAAATATTCACGAGTACGGTCGACCATGCGATTCGCCTTCGAGCCAGTTTGTACCGAGTGCTTCCGTCGTCTGATGCTTGAAAAGGGACAGCGCAAAGGAATACAACAACATGTCTGTTGCTATCGAACGATGAATGGCCGGGCTTTTGTGAGCCCATTGAAGAACCTCATCTCGAAGCCCGGACGGTAAACCCGCATTGATGTGCAGAGTCATGTTCCACTCACGCACCGGGGACCGCACGCGGGCGTTGAAGAGCTGCATAGACAGGTCCCAGTGTTCCATGATACCCACTGCAGTGTATCCAGTCAAAATATCCTGCGAACGTACAATATATTTTTCACGTACGTGCAACAACATGAATGAATGAGCTTTGATGGTTTCCTAAGGAACCCTGATGTTGTGCGCAGTACAGGTTCTGAATACACCAAAACACGTGCCATGTGCGAAAACAATCACAGTAGGATCATCATCGAATGACCTCGAAGGAAGGTATGTAGATTCAGGATGGAAATTGTGGCGAGATATGCTACTACCCAACAGACGAACACACGCCGCGTCCAGGAGGAATAATACCGTTTCGTCTTATCCCTCTGAAGCCTCCATTATACGGAATAATATTTCAAAACTCGTTCAGATCCATACAGGCTATTGTGTCAAATGTATATTTGGCACCAGCTACTACTCCTACAGTACTGTAGATTTGCCTTACGGTGGGCCAACTCACGCTGCTTCATGTTGATCATTGTACCAGATAAAAAGGAAAATCCACCAGATTGTCAAAGAAAACAACAACGAATAGGGTACACTTCCTGAGGTTGGAGCACACCGTACGTGATATTATACTGTTATGCTTCATTGTTTTGAAAACACATGGTGAGACACCTGCCCAGCTACAGTACCTTACTTTTCCGAATTTGTAAAAGGAGACAATTCTAGTTTGGGCTGTCAAACATTCACCCAAACAAACGCTCAGGAGACAATAGAGACAGGAAACAGTCCTTCGACTCGCGGATATATTGATTTTAATTCCTGGACTGCTGCGTCCATGTCATCTCCGAACAGCAAGGTATGAAACGCGATAATAAGGTTCCAAAGAAGGAGTAGATAAACCGTAGGAGGAGAACACATTGTGAGGTACAAGACAATGATAAGCGTGGTTCGGTTACGGCTTATGCATCGATACATGTCGATCTTCAATTGACTACAAATATTGGTGTCGCGGCCAAGATACTTACAAATGTCATGATGGATATGAGCCGCAATGTAACTCCGATTCAACGGGGATAAATGCCCTTGGAATCCGCATAAATTCGTCAGTGATCTCACATGTATGTGTAGCACTTAAGTATACTAAAAAAATGTCTCTTCGCCAGGCGAGCGCATACTTGTGCGGACTCCTGAGAGTTTGTGATCAGTGCGAGGAGAGAAACTACCGGACCTCCTCTCGTTAGGCAAGTGCGTTATGTGATCGCCCTCTTCCTGTGAAGAGCAGGGCCACAATACCTGATTGAAACTCCTCACCTCGACCTGCTGGAGAACATCTAGACCATGGGGTCCATCCAGATCTGGCGCTCTTGGATCCTGCCGGCAACCCCGGGTAACCCATATCAAGATAGTCGCAAGATGAGAGGTTTACAGGAAACTACCATTCGAGACTGATCGGGTTGGTTCATGTGCGTGCCAAACATTGGTGTGTGTCATTTGAATGAAAGAAAGTCAGCAACACATCCATGACTCAGTAAATTATCCAACCTTCCCCTTTTTCCGGGCAACGAAACATAGGATCACACTCACACGTGGGATGCTCTTGGATGGTGAAATTGCATACTTGCTGGGATTTTTACACGTACCACATGCAGTAGTGCTCAATATTTGGACATGCGTATTTTACGAGATGGTGAATAAATGTAACCTCGCAAATCCATGCACCATCCCTCTCATAGCTGCATAGGCTCAACACCACGGGTGAATGCAAGCGGTGGGAACACACATCGGGTATACGTTGAACGATCCCCCCACACCAGCGGTTCTGGTCACCAGCGATCCTGATTCTGAAGATAGAAGCACCCCACAACCACTGCACCTACGTCTAAGAGAGAACAGAGAGTGCAGGTGGCAGCATCGAAGGTTTGTCCTCGATTTTCAACTACGGAGTGAGATATTTGAACAGGTGGGTGTCGTCCGTTGTCAACTTGGAGATGTGTGCCCTCCGCGTTGATCACGCAAGTAGCACAAGCCAGGCAAAAAATGCGAATTTCCGCGGGCCTGGATCGTTTTTCTTCGCTATCGGCGCCCGAGGAGTCCACACAGTAAAGGCAATGTGCGGTAGAAGCCCTTTCGAAATGTGCCAGGAGAACTTTGAAGTTGATTGACCTGCGGTAATCTCGCGGCAACCACCAAGATTGGGTCAAGATTTATTCGGTCGGGCAACGTTTGGGCCCAGGACAAATGATAGCGGCATTTTTTTGGAAGAACTGTTTCACATTAATACAGTACAGTAGTAAAATGGACAAATCTTGGCCCAAGATCGAGATTCTGCCAAGCTTGTTTCTCCATAAACATAGGTCTCACCCTCACACATTGTTTTGTTCGTATGCACTAACAAACTCTCAGAAGGTGCCGCCTATACACCAGGAACGTTCGTACACGCACGGACTTTCGCGGACATCACATTCAGTCGACAACTAACTTTAGTATGTGGGTTACTTCACTCGAGGGCTTTTCCACCACCCTTTGGGCCGAGAATCTTCGCCTTTTCGTTAACAAGCCATCGCCCAACAACGTTAACCGTCGTCCTGCGCGCGTCGCCCATCGGTGGTGGTCATCGCGTGCGCCAACCCGTCACTGCAGCCTTTGACGCACACCTTAACACGCAACATGAGCGAACTTCAACAGGCTGAAACTCACCCAAGCGAAACGCCAGGAACTGTAACTCTTGCACGTTCTGAAAGGTTCTGCAAGAACCTTTATTCAGAGTAGGTCCATCCCGGCGAGAAGCCACTTTACGCTCGGCTAACATGGTGCTAAACCCGTGGAAAGCCTTTCCATCATCTCTGTAATTCATTCCGTGCGGCTTACAGTGTGGAGTGCTCCCACGGGAAGCCATCCCGTGTGCTTGAGCTATAATACCCAACGGTGGGTGAGGGTTAACGGTGGTTTCGTATCGTCATTTCCGGTCAACCCTATGCTACGACGCTGGCCTTTCATCATGGTCGGTAGCGCAACCAACAGTTTTCAGAGCCACACCTCACAATTGCATACCGCGCACACAGCGGTACCAATCGGGTGTTCTTGACACGCTCCGAGCTCCCTGCGTGTACCCCGTCTCCGGGAGAGTTGCCCAACCAGGAACTGGTGCCAGACCGCACACGGTTCGTTATTGGCAGAAACAACTTGACTAAAAAACTTGTTCTCTACAGCATTTGGTAACACTCGTGTGTGCCATTCAACGAACCAAACACCAGCGGCAAATTCTGCACCTACGCCAATGGTTAACCTCTTGCATGGGACAAGGTCAGAGCGCCAACCACAACATGTATGCGAGGGTCACCAGGACTTTCTTACCTCCGTCGCTTCACAGATGTGACCACGGGGACAGTACATGCCATACGCCATCTGCTTGTATGCCATATTCTTCCAGAACTGCTGGGCGAACTCCAACAGGCGATCGGTCGCGGGTAATGGGTGGTCGACGTGCCCGCACCACTGGAATGTATCGAGTGCACGCGTAGCCAGCGTGCTTTAGCGATAGTTGCCCCTCAGAGTGTGAATGTTGCAATCGAGTACTTGACAATTTGTAGGATACCGTCCATATGGGCATGCACGATCTTATGCTCCCGAACGGTGACCGAATTTCATAACACTGGACGCATGAGACGCCGGCTCGCAAGTGTTGCGATATTTTCTTCTTCATGTAAGTCTGAGTCACCACATCGGTGGGACGCGTTGCACGCACATACCTTTCGAGGCCTCTTTTGTATATCGTGGTCTGTTGGGCAATAGAAAAATGCCGAGACCAGGCGATCGACGGGGTGTCTCAAAAGCGTGAAGTACTCGCAGTCCTTCCGAACAGCCTCCAACGGCATTCTAAGGCAACGAAGAGGGAACGGAACCGGCCGGGTACCAGTTGCTCAACATGCGCGCATACTGGTGAGACTATATATGACAACGTTGGCCGAGACAAGGCGGTGGAACGTACTCGCTTGGGAGCGAAAGGAACAACAGGTACGACCGTAGCGTGAAACCGCCCTGACCACCGGGAAATACTGGTTAACCCAAGCAAGATTCTCGACGTAGATGTGGAATCGTTCGCGTGAGGAGCCTACTTCCACACAACGTCAACATGTTGCAAAAGTGACAATCTGTGCATCATCGTTACGCTGATCGTTTCTTCCTTTTGTTAAGGAGGATCTGATTCGTAGGGTATCTGTCGATTGACTTTTCCCAGCATCGATACACCTTCTTCGCATATGTATGGCGTCAGCAGGATACTGGTTCGAATCTCGTTGTGTAAACTGTATTCTGACTTCGACCTTTTCCCATGGACACCCTTGGAGTCGATCCTAGGCTGTGATCATGCTGTGCTCGCAATGTTTCAAACCATGGACATCATCAAAAAGACGTGAGATAGAAGTCCATTTCAAGCAGCCGCGAGGCTTCTCAATTTGTTTCGTTGCACCCGTGACGTTCGTGGTAAGCATCGAACAGCTGCAACAACATATTGGTGAAATTGAGAGCGGAGCATGAAATTGAGAGCGAGAGCCAAAAATCTGAGATTCGGGTCCAGACGCCTTTTGCCATTTCTTGGGAAGTTGGGGGCGGGCTCTTCCAAGAAGCGGCGCAAATTGAAGGTCTCATCAGCAGCGTCACGATCATATGCGTGTCATCGTCATCGGATGCTGCAGCTAGGAGCTAGACAAGTTGCTAGATTTCCCCACATTGGCTATTCCTGCCTCAAACTGTTGCAGGGCGGTTCGGCCTCGGGCGGTGGGCTCTGCTGCAGCTTCTGCTCGCCGCCGTAACTCCACATCGAGAGACTCCCACAGGATGATCAGGGTATATGCTTGTAGCTACGGGCTGGCCCTTCAATTCAAGCTACACAGCAAGCTCCACCTCTCAGCAGTAGTCCAGCTGCAGCGCATCGCGTAATCTCGCTCTCAATCAGATGCTTTGCTCTCAATTTCACCAATATGCTGTTCTGCGTGGTACTTGCCGCATGAGTTCGGCGTATCCCGTGATGACTGCAGAAGAGTTGAAGGCTTCCTTGCACGAGTCGATCTTCTCGCCCCCCCCCGATACACACGATCCTGCGTTGGACAGCCAAACAGCAGGGATAAAGGAACGAAATCTTTACGTCACTTTGACGTCGAAAGGATCGGCGATACTCGCAATCCGAAGAATGACACATAGACTATCATGCCATTCAACGTTATCTTGCGAGTAGATCGTACTGCTGGAGATGGTTGGAATCGCTTGAAGTACAGGAACAGCGTTTATTCGACGGCATTGGGTCGACTGCATTGGGTTTGATACGCAATTGTGAAGGCGTTGACGAGTCTTCTGTAACTATGAGGTCAGTGCAGCTTGGGCGTCTGTGTGTGGATCGTAGTCCGCTCTGTGTTTCTCTACCTAACATCCGCCACATAAGCGAACCACAGCGTACCACAGCCAGCCGCTGATCTGCGGTTCCTGTTGAAGGCCCCTTGTGTTTGTGGGCCCGCATGGTAGGTAAACTACAACAACGTCATGACAGACGCGTACGGTCGCTACATGTGGTACAAGAATGGATGAAGTTGCACAGTACATCCAGACGAGAAGGTGCTGCAGGAGGCGTATGGTTTGTCTCGTGTTGCGCACGTAAGGGGTGATGGCGAGACCCATGCGGTGGGGTCATCGTTGGCAGACATGATAATTCCGTGGTAAAGATCGTGAACATAAACTCCAAGGAGAAAATATCCCCAAACAGACGGCGGAGGGCAAAGGCCACATGATGCCGGGAAAATGAACAATCAAGGGCTTGGGGACATACTCGCTGCGGAAAGGACGGCGACTTGCAGGAAGCCAAACGTGAAAATGCATGAGAGTTGGTGGCCTTTCGTGTAATAATCTGTCGCAGGGTTAGTAGACGTTCGTGAAAATATTTGAAAATCTCCCTGATCTGCTACAGTATAGAAAAAATAACGACTAAAGCCTAAGAAGGTTACCGTAGCGCAAGCGAACGCGAATTAAGCCGCAGTAGAGCACATGAAGCCGGTGGCGTGAGTGTCGAGGAGGACACTACCCCAGCCAGTTGCAGGAAATGGCGCAAAATGCCTTGCCACAGAAGGACGCAGGGTGACGGATCCCAACGCGAGTGATGGGCACTCGTTTCAGAACGGTTGCTTTTTCGGCTCGCTTCGCAGGGGACGACTTCGATAGGGCGTGCATGCATTGCAAAGAACGGCTAGAATTGGGGGGAGAGTGGTTGTGGACGTAAGTGGGGTGGCCGTGGGGTGGCCGTGCCGTGGCGAGTACGGTTGCCCTGATCGACCTTTCACCCAAAATGTTGAATACACCTGCAGAAACCATGAAGTATGGTCGCACAAAACAATCTTATCGAAAAAGAGCCGCTCTAGACCATGTCGGCCAATATATGCCGCTCGTTAGGGTGCTGGTCGATCCCTTTTCACTGACAAAAAAATAAGAGACTCTACAACGGTCGTTCGTCAAGCGTACATGTACCGCGAGCTGTGTGTATGGTCCGTCTTGTGTGGCGGCTGATGGAGACAACACGGCGATAGGGGGCACGGGACCTGAGGTGTCGGTCGACAGCACGCTGAAATATTGCCCACGCAACAGCAACCAGTGGTCTTTATCTTTAGCCCGTGTCGCAACATTGGTTTACACATGGCCCTCGCCATCCACTCAAGCGATAGCGATGACAAAGGTATCGGCCACACGTTGTCACAGACCAGTTGGTTGCAGGGCCCTCAGCAATTGTGAGCGAGAGAGTCGTGGAACAGGGCGGAAAATGACACACTCGTCTTCAAGCAGAATATTTTGCTCTTTTTTGCCAGTGTCGCAACTTGAGTTCGTCCATTGTCTCTCGTCATCCACTGAACCAACAACCATGACAAAGGTATCCGCCGGGAACCGTTTGTATGGTTCGTCTTGTTTGGTGGTTGATACAAACCAGGAGGCCATTGGCATGGGACGCCCAGAAGTTGGGTTCGTAAGATTTGACAGCACATGAAAAAAGACCAACGCTGCTGCGTCCACGCTCTCTCGGCTCGTTTGCCCCTTATTTGCCGCACACATTGTGCTGTGCCCCTGGTCCAGCCAAATTAAAAAAACAACTGCTGTTACCGATTCTGGATCAGTCACATGACACAGATCGTGTGAACACCGTCCCGCCCCCTATTTCCCAAGAAATGGCAAGAGACATCTGGACCCGAGTTTTCAGTTTTTGGCTCTCGCTCTCAATTTCATGCTTCGTTCTCAATTTCACCAATATGTTGTTACGTTATAGTTTGCGGGGATCATTCGTCGAGAGATTCAAGTTTGTTGGAAAGCGCCATGTGGTAAGAGTCCAACACTTAGTGAAAAAACTTCAGGATGGGCTGTCCAAAGCGGTCGTATTTGTCCAGTTATCTTTTTTGTCGCGAAAACAAGAAAAGTACACCCAAAAAAAGACACCGGTCATCGTTTTTGTAAGTCTCATCTTTGGGTCGTCGCGTCTGTGGAAAACAATATCTCCTAAACACTAGACTTTGTGCATAGAAAGTAAGATTTGGTCACTTTTCATGCCTCGGCAATTCTTTCTCTCACGGAAACGAGTCACCTCTCACGATTTCTTCTCAGGGGCGCGCAGGAGGCTCACCGGTACATACACGCTCGTGCCCGGAGCTCGGCGGGCCAGCGTGGCGCGTGTGGTTGACGCTCAAAGTTCGGAAATGGCAAGATACCACGGGGACGCGTTCCGCGACGACAAAGCCAGCCGAACCAATTCGAAAACTTTCCGTCGGACCTTTTTCTGAACAATACACAGTTTCGGACTGGGCTCCAAATTTCCGCTTTAGGAAGAATGTTTTGAGATAAGAAATGTTCCTGGAACCTTCGTGCAGGAAAAAATTTCAGATTAAAGCGTCTTCATGTGATTGGCTGTGGGGCAACAGTCCTCCCACGAACTTCCTCTCTCCGCAGGTGCTGTTGTCTTTTCGTGGTGCGCTGCGTGACAGCCAGCTGTGAACCTTTCTTGATGACAAGGGCTTTCACTGCTGCTGAAGTTTAGTGTGCGTGCGTGCGTGCGCGTGCCCGTGTCTGCGTCGCTCCCTCAACCCCAGCACACACACGAAGTCGCACCACACCAGTACACGGAGACAGGAAGTGATTACTGTACACTGGCCGACGACAGCCTCTGAACGAAGTGCTATGTCGCGTTTTAAGCGTTCGGGAGAGCGACGAGGGGGTTGGGACCGGGAGGCATATCCGAGTCAAACGCTCTTCTTTCTAGTTGACACAAGAGAAAATACTCTTGCGCACGGAAGGATGCGCCCGCCTTCACCAGGAGGCCACTACGTGCTCTTCCTCCTCTCTGCTCTTCTTTGGTGGCGGCGTTGCCACGACCTCTAGGTTCGTGCGCTCTTCCTCCCCCTTGCCTCAATCCGACGGGCGTGTTACTGACCTCAAGCCAGCCTGAAACAAACCCAACTTTCTGACCGTGCAGCCTCCCTGTTTTTGTGTTAGTGGCGTGCCAACTCCAAGGCCTTTCGCTGGGCGCTGGCCTTCTCTTTGGCCGCGCTGACATGTTCACAGCAGACTGCTGTGTGTGCGTGCGGTGGTGCGTGTGATGTGTTACTTCGAAGAAAAATGCTAAATCGAAAAATCGTGTAATTTTTCCCTGAAACCAAGCCTCCCTCGGCTCTTGAATCAAAAACTTTTTCCCTTGTTTGTTGTTGTGGGTTCTGGAGAGACTGTCAAGAGCGATCCTCAGGAAGACAGCTTAACTCAAAATATGTTTCCTTATTTCGGAATTTTTTCGAGTCCAAAAATGTCAATGTCCGATTTTCTACGAATTTCATGCGGGCCACCCGCACGCTTCTGACAGATAACACACACAGACAGCAGTAGAAAACGTTTCCAACGCACATACTTCGCGACACACGTATCACAGAATGTGGCGTCCTGCAGCAGCGGAGGTGGC